GTAGGCCCTGGCTGATCAGAGCTGAAAGGTAAATGGCAACCAATCATAATTTCTTCAGATAGGAGACAAGGGAAAAGCATGCGTCTAGTCCATTTGGAAGGATTTCTATCCAGATCAACATGAAGTCTTAATGAATAACGACCCGTGTTTGTTTGGACATCTTGTGAGAAAAAGTTGAAAGTAGAGAGGAAAATTGATTTAAAAAAACTCTGTTATTAACATTCTATATCTTCAACAGTAGGACCAGTAGCTGCTTTCTAAATAATCTCATTACAGCTGTTATAATATCTGAGCGCTCGAAGAGTGAAGGCCTTGCTTCCATTACCTTATCAGTCGTAAAACGCAACTCTAATTAATCTGCTTGAGGCCTGGAAAAGTGTGTTCAACTCCCAACAGGAGGGACTGGATTGACAAAATAACCTGGCCTTTTGGGTTCCGAGATGGACTTGACCTAGTGGACCACCAAGTTATCACCCCAATGACCTCAAGTTAACATGAAGGATTTATTGTTCTTTTCTGAACTGTGGATCGCAATCTTCAGGACAGACAGAGATGCCCCATTTATCTGGGAAACTGGACTGAACTATGAGGGGGGTAATAACCTGACAGATGGTAAATGTAAGTATAGGTATAAGTGTTGTATTTTATTTTGTGCACATCAGAGGCCTGTGCAATATCCTGTTATTGCAGAGGCGCCTGATGATATTCTTTGTTATAAGATACCAAGGAAAGTGTTATATGTTGAAGTCTAGTCTAGTGTCTGAAATTGAGTTTTACATCAATTCCGAAGTAAATGGATTATTTACATTGCATTTGAGCAATGACAAGTCAAGCTTTCGGAGAGTGTGAAACCAACTGGACTAAGTTAAACATGATAATTAAGTAGTTAATTTAGTAGTGAATTGGTGGTGATTTGTGCAATGGCGTGGAAATGTGGAAGCCTTCATGAATCCTTTACTGGTATACCCTTCCTCAGATAGCTCTGCTTAGTATTTTAGTAATTAAGCTTATCTAGGAAAGCAGAGTTTATCACAAGGACCATAGAGGTTATAAAATATAATCTTTGTAATAGCTCAGGTGACCACTCAGTAAGTAATGCACTGAGTCAGTCCATTAGATTACATTCTCTTGTGGCACTGCTTATATGTTAAATAATACCAGTTCTGATATAACCTCTTCTGAGCCAATCACTACCTCTTTAAGGGCTGTACAGAGGTCGCCAACCCAGTGCTGTTTTTCTCGCTATCGAGGCATGGTGTGCCTGCAAAGGCTGTGCTGCTTGGTGCCACTGGAATCCACGTTCTACCCACAAGTGTCAGGCTCCTTCACACTAGAGGGTTAGTGTCATTTAAACTCTGGTGGAGTGCAGAGCTGACTGAAAATGGAGAACTAAGAGAGGTGGTTTAGCTTGCAGTATCCAGTAATTAACAGGCAGGACAATCATTCAAGAAGAGGAAATTAAAAGTCAGTCTGGAGCATGGAATAGTGAGCAGGTTGGCAGACTCTGTGATGATTGGTGTGTAAATAGCTCATGACACAACTGGTGAGACACTGGGCAGTTGCCACATCGGAAGCCTCAGTGCTAGTTCCTGTGACTAGCATCATTATTTATTACCAAACTGTGAGATTTCTATTCATGAAATAGTAATTGGCCTTCTAGTCAGATATGAGGGTCAGATATGAACTAGGGTTTTACCACTGACCCCTCACCCACACCACCAGTTCTTCAACAGAGTTCAGGAAATCAAATCTAAAACTCCCAAGCTCAGGTCCTTCCAATAGGGAATGGCTAAGGCTGTAAGAGGAGTGCAAATTACCCAAAACGTCAGGTCAAATGAGTCGACGGGCTCTGCTTATGTGTACGTGGAGGGTAATAGGTAACCTACCGGGGCTATCGCTAGGTGGTTAACAGGAGGGACTGAAGTAGAACATAAAACAATTATATATATTATTGATGGAAAATATATATGTGTAATTTATCTGTATTCAACACTACAGTATTAATTCAAGCACATTATGTAATATGTCGGCTTTTTTAACATATCTTAAGCAGCTCCAACAATTGCAGCTACACATCAAAGGACAAGACTTGGGACAGGACTTAGCAGGTCAACTCATGTTACATATCAAAGGACAGGACTTGAGACAGGACCAACTGGTCAACTCATGCTACATATCAAAGGGCAAGACGAATACACATGAAGCGGTGAAACAAAACATCTTCCTGAGATCATACTGTATATAAGAGCTGGGAAACCCTTGCGGTTTGTCTGTTCGGGGCAGACCCAACGCGCATTGATGTCATTATTGAGCTCAATAAAACAACTGAATCCACACAGGACTGTGTCCTGCTCCTTTGATGAAGGATTTCCCACAACATTATTGATAACTAATAGTTTGTGCTAGTACCTAACTTTCTTAATTTAAAACGATGTATTTAAAACGATGAACTAAGTATGACATTACATTCGGAAATACAATCGAGAATAGTTTTGTGGTGTTTGTATAGATTAAACTTTTCTAAAATGCATAACAAAATTAAAGACGATTAAAATCAGTAATCTTTCCATGTGTAATGTCATTAGAAAATACAACACGTCCCTGCTTTGTCTAACGATGGCATCAAAAAATAATAATAATAATGAGAAAGCTGTGCTTAATGATAATTAAGGGACTTAGAAGTCAAAGAAGATGATTTATGTTGTTTAATTTCATACACTAAGTTATGAATGCAGACGCAATTGGTGCCATACGCAGTCCATGCTATAGAACGGCCATTGTGCAATACTAAGGTCTGCGCCTCCCCCTCTGACGGAGTGCAGTGGGCGCTACGCCATTTTCAGAGTCTCTGATTGGGGAAAAAAAGACCTGCTGATCTGTCCTGCATAACAGGAAGAGAAAAAATGTGATTTTTTTCTGTACAAAAAATGTATTTATGTTTGTGTTTATAAAATTCAAGTATTTTAAACATTTAACTAAGAAGTAAAAAACTTACAACTTACACAAAGATTCTAAGATGATCATGAGGAAGAAAAATCACCCGTTTTCCATGCATAAAAAGTGGTTATTAACTATTTAAATCTGTTTTTATAACTTTAAAAGTCATGCAATGTCTAAGTTTAGCAGGAACACATCATTGTATCTTATTTTTTATTTCTTTTTTAAAAAATTAAAAAATGGTTTGACCAGCCAACAACCAGTGCAGAGATTAGCAAAATCAACAATATGGAATATCTTGAAAAATATAAAACTAATGGATGAGTCAAAACCAGGTATTCCAAGAAAGGCAACAGCAAAATTTCAGAAAAAGCATTAGAGCTGTGAAGAAACCCTAAAATAACAGCCAAACAGTTTGAAGACAATTTCTAGAGTACGAGGTTGAAAATATATAAACACACTTCAAGCAGAAGACTCTCCTGAACTAAATTCTATTGAACATGATTTTTACTTGAAGAAGAAACTCAGAAAGTCAGAAGTCAGAAAACCCATAAACAGACAAAAACTGAAAGTCACTGGAGCTAAGGATTTGCAGATTTATAAGAAACATTAATAGTCTGATGATATCAACGGGTCACAGATTTGAAATCAGCGTAAGGTGTATGCAGTCAATTACTAATTTAGAGTTTAATTTAACTTAATTTGTCCCAATACTTATGGTATGCTAACCTAAAATTGGGGGTTATCGAACATGAAAACGTTTTTTGTTCTAACACATATGCACAATTTTATTCTGAAACAAAAGCTTTCTATATTCTATAAAGAATATGTTTATGAAAATGTCTTTACTTTTCCCTCATTTTTATCTTCTAATCTCAAAATACATTTAAAAAGTTAATAATACGCAGCAAAAATGACTAACTTCACTTCACTATCCCAGTACAGAAACAGCACCCATGTCCATTGTCTCTATTAGTGACGACTCACACAGATCCCTTTCCTGGAATGTATTCTCGGAAAAATGTGATGCATTTCTGTATTAGTTTATTGTTACAGTTAATTACAGTTATGACAGTTCTAATATTCTACATTCTGTATGTATCTGTATATACAGTGCCTTGCAAAAGTATTCAGACCCTTTAAAAGTATTAAAATTTAAGTATTATTTGTAAACAGCAACATCTTTTTCCAATCTGTAATTCTATTGCAAACTTAGATGCTCAATTTTTAAAGACAAATAAGATATCTTCTGACAAAGTCAAAAGGTGAAATATGTTGTTGTATAAGTATCAGGACCCCTATGCTTCTGTAGCTCAAGATTCACACAGGTGAAAGAAATTGCAGTAATGAGGACATAGAGGCCTCACCATTGGCCTCTGCTTGTGCATCACTTAAGTGTCTGTCACATTTACTAGGAAAAAAAGTCTGTTTAGGGATCACTGGTCAGGCAGTAAAACTGAAGGAAAGGTTTGAAACTGAAGTCAAAAGAGCACCCTAAGAAAGCTAGAGATAAGCTGATAATAATGCATAGATACAAAAAATATGAAAGATACTAGTAAGCACTGATAGCTCAATAAACCAATAAGTGGAAGCTGCCTAAAAAGGCCATTCCTCAAAAACCAGCCGAACATGGAGGACATAAACCACTGAGTTTTTCAAATCATTTTGGGGCGTTCTCTTGCCGATAGCAAGGTAAGGGTGCATCAGTCAACCATTTCAAGAGCTGGATGAACATCACTCCTAACCTGTGTGCAAAGTTGATAGACACCTATCCCAAAAGAATAAAAGATGTTATTGAGGTAAAAGTTGGCTGTACCAAATATTAATTTGTTGGGTCTGAATACTTGGGTAAGCAGCGTATTTCAGTTTTTGAGTTTCTTTAAATATCTGCTGACTAATTTGATCTTTAAAAAAATCAGTTTGAGCATGTGGGTTTACAATAAAAATACATGTATCATTTATAATCCAGCAACGTTTGAAAAATGTTAAAGGGTCTGAATACTTTTACAAGGCACAGTACTTGGGGAAGCAACTAAAGGTTAACTTTATGCAAATGAACATACCTCTGATAATTGTCCACTACCTCTGGATCCAGTGTCATTGATCTAGAACAAAAAGAAATCAGATTATTACAAAATGCTTAAATAAGATTTAGGTGACTAGGAAGCCTCTTAGAGTTTAGATAAAGTTTGTGACACCTGGCAGTGTAAACACTTCTAGCTGCAAAGCAGAGGGGATGTTTGTTGAGATGTGGGGGGTTCCAAATCAATAACAATTGTAAAGTTTACCCTGGTCTATCTAGGTAATTAAGTTGTGTGTTAATGATTGTCAATGAGCTATCCAGAAAAACACCTTATCAGATCTCATTTAGACAACAGAAAAGTGGAAAGGAGAAGAAGAGAGGGAGAGGAGAGAAGAGAAAGGATTCCGGAGGACATAGAATTTAAAGCTTGTGCCAGGCGAGAACCCCTACTTCACATTCATCCAAGCAAAACCTGACTGGAACCAGGTATCTGAACCTTGCTAGAGAGAGCTTTGTGTTCTGTGTTTTTAAGGAACTTGGGTTACCTGGGTAAAACATACTTCGGTTAGAGAAGTCTTTCCTGCTTAGGGGTACCATATATTTTGTGGCACCTGGGTCTGCAGAGAGATTTAACTGCAGGTTGTATTGCATTTGTTCAGAAGTCACCTTCTCTTTTATTTGGCCTCTGAAGGCATTATTCAAGAGATTAGTACTTAAGAGCAGTCTGGAGGGTTTTCTTGGTGACTAGAACATTAGGGCTCTCGGACGCCTTGTTTGTACAAAATGCAAAGAATGTTTTGCAATAATTTTTGGCAAAAAATAAATGGGCTATCTGACTATTTACTTTTTCGATAGCCTAAAAATTCATTCAGATCTGTGCATGTAATGTAGTACATTTTACTGCCCTTGTATGTGTTTAACTCTTGTCAAATGTGTTGTTAAAAGTCTCTTCCCAGAGTGCTGGCTGACACTGAAAAAAAGGCTACAGGACCTCCGTAAATAGTGTTGTGTGTTATACCCAAGAACGTTCTCTCGGTTATTGCTGCACGAAGCCCACATTTGCTACAGTGGATAGTGGAACGAAACAGACTGTCAGTGACAAATTCGATAAAAGTTTGATTGCCTATTTGATAGTTGTAGTGTTTGTGCAAAAATGATGAAGCAAAGAGACTTACAGTTACCACAAGGAACGGGAGCATGATTATTTTTTGTACTTTCGCATTCAAATCTGCAATGCTAGCGTCTACGAGAAAAAAGGAATAATAGAACAACATTTCAAAACTGCACACAAAACGTATGATGTGGACTTTCCCACTAAAAGTGAGTTATAGAAACGAAAAGTGGAAAAATTAGAATCAACTAGCAGTAGTCGGTTTTCCCTCTAATACAAGAGGGAAAGCAGCAATCATCGCATCATTCTGTGTGAGCCATGTCCTGGCTAAACATAAAAAGTCATTCAGGGATCGAGAAATAAGTCATCGTCCTTCGAGCTGGTCTTTGGCAGCACTACGTTTGCTTCAGTGTCTCTCATTTCTCCACTCTAACCACAATCCTGTCAGCCACCACCGTGTGGGTAAACAACACCACGTTAGCTGCCCGGTCTGCAACACGCACGCGCACTTGCGCAGTATTTTGTGCGCATGCGCATATCATGTCCAAAGCATAAACATATATATAGAACATTTATCAAAATTTTTGTTAAAATTATATCGAGGAAAATTATATCGCGATAATTATCGTTATCGAATTATCGCCCAGCACTAGTTGTATGTTTTGTTATTTGTAGTTTTGTTTGTCTTGTCATGGTTAATAAACATTTGTTGAAGCAAACATGCCTAGATTATTGCTCTTTTCTACAAAACTTTGCCCAAGAATAAAGAATTCATATGCCTCTAATTATAGCAACCACTCAGGTATTTTCTGGAGAAATCACTTACAATTTGTAATCAGTTACAATTTTTGTAATTATATTCAACTTCACTGTAGCAATTTGCTTTTCTAAACCCTTCAAATTATAGGTACCAAATGGTATTCCAAAAGGAATTCTTTAAAAATTTATGAATGAGCTTTGCATGTGCAAAGGTGTCATAATTGCTGCTTAAGGTGGCACTAAGCAGGGCTATGAGATGTAAAGTGAACCCGCATGTTGGTTGAAAGAGAAAAAAACAGAAGAGGGAAGCTGCAGGCAATGCAGTGCAATAGCAAGCTAGGACAGAAACAGAGAATGGTGTAGGTAAATTTGCCAGATTTGTAGTCATAGCAAGCAGGGTTTAAAACCGGATGAGTATGATATTAATATATGAGTGACTGAGTTTGACATATTGAAAGAACTATTTTATTGATGTCATTTTAATGTACAGACAGGGCTATTCCCAAACTTGTAACTTGAAAATAAAACAAGAAGTGCAAGACAGTCTTTCTTAGCTGCAGGTCAGTTCTGGTAAGAACACACAGTACTACGTCTCCTTGTGTCCCTTCATTTCCTGGGTATCCGTACAAATACCCCTAAAGACCTAACGTAATAGCCCTACCCTATCACCAAGGGAAATTGCTAGACTGCCCCCTCCTACTCTCCAAGTGTCTCTTTGTCAGGTGTCTCTTCCTGACTGGTCTAGGTACAGACAGCAATGCACTGGACAGGTGGTCGTTTAAGGCAGTCACCACATTATGGCCTCCCCAACTTTCCTAGTTGGCTCTAGCTCCACTTCTTTGGCCTCCTCTTCCAAGGTTTCTTGGCCAACCTCCACAGAACTGAAGTCTGGTCACCCTAAGAAGCTTGACAACAGATACTGGAGAAACACCACTAACCAATTCCTCATTCCTCGGGTCACAAGCAAGCAATTACAATATGCCTGTCTTTGGGTGTTTGTACTGGCTTCCTATCAGGTTTCAAGTCAAACCAGCAGTAATAGGACACCAGGCCAAGAAACCCTCAAACCTTTTCCACTGTGCTAGCCTTTGCCTTCTTCAAGTCAATGGAAACCCCTTGGTGACTCACCACATGTCACAAGAACAGTGCCCTTGCCCGCAGGAGACTGCACTTCTTTAGATTCAGCCCCATCCCTGCCTCCCAGAAACACTAGAACACGAGCCACAGGTTTACCATGTCTTTATCGAAATTTGACACATGTACCAGGACATCGTCCAAGTAGATTGCATACATGCATTTACAATGGCACCTATGCCAGCACTCTTTCCAACAGCGGCTCAAAGGTGACCAGGACATTACACAGGTCAAAGGATATAACCTGAAACTGCCACAGCCCCCTCCCCAGGGGGAATAAAGTCTTCAGGGGTCCAAGGAGCAGAAACATAGACCACATTAGGGTATCCCAAAGGTCTCAGAAGGTTTTGGGAGAGGTTGCTCCTGCTTGCTGAAGAAGGTCCATGCCCAGAATGCAGGAATCCCACATGGGGCTAACAAGAACTCTTGGTGCCAGGTGTGATCTCCCACTTTCACAGGCAGCACCCACCACCATAACTTGGCTTCTGTGCAACCTGTCACTGCACACAGCCACCAAACAGTCTCTTTCCACATGACCTTGCAGTCTCACAGCAACACAAACAGACCTTCATGGCTCAATTGCAAGATGATGGAGCCAGTGTCAACCAAGGATTTCAGCTGCACAGCCCCACCGCACATGAAACTGGCTAGCACCTTCACCCACTCTGCCGTTTATCAATTGTAGGCATTTGGCACACTTATCTGGGGATTTGTTGTGTGTGTAGGGTGGGTTAGCCGCAGTGCAGCCACCCTAAGCCTGTTTCCCTTAGGAACTGCTCCATGCCTCCCAGGATAGCTCAGTTGTAGATGGCCCTACCTTCCACAATCTCAGCAACTCGGGCCTCTTGCTTAGTTGGCCTCCACCACAGGGCTCATTTCCACCCCCTCCAACTCTAACTGCACAGCCCTGCTTCCCTGCAATACTCCACTCAACAAATAATGAGCTTTAACAGCCTTTATCTATTCAATTGCTGAATTAAAACTGGAAAGTAGTACTTGAATTTAGGCACAAAAGCAGTACCTGATGATGCAAGCCAACAGCACTAGCTCCTCTTTTGCTACTCCAGGCAGAGAGGGATAGCTCCCAACTAGAAGATAAAATGTCTACTAATTTCTAGTCACTCACTTTTAAGTTTTGACTACAGTCTCATTTTTATGCGACAAAAATATTTTAGTCAGTTTATTTATATAATAAAATGTATAATGTGTTTCTAAGAAAATATTTATTCTGTTAAAATTGTCAGAAGCACTTATATAGAGACATTGTATGAACCCATGCTAATAATCATTTTGCTTCTGTTAATGATTTCATACTTGAATGCTTCCCCAAGTATTTTTTCCATCTTCCCCATATAACTAAATCTCATTGGATCCGTCTACTCCAAACTTAACCAGTTCCTCACTGCAGATAAGGATAAAAAAAAAAACATCAACACACCCACTACTTTCACTAATCTAAATCTTGTTACTAACTCGGCCCTTTCACACCTGAAGAAGGTTCCACAGCCAAAACATTGCGTTTCTTTTCTTTTCTTTCAGCATGGAATAAACCTTTACTCATTCCTTTGAAGTAAATAAGACTGCTTTGTGAATATTTATATTACACATAACAGATCTTTTTGTTTCACTTACAAAAGGTACTTTCATTGACATCTGCGAATTGCAATTCTATACCAAGCATTGTATAGCAATCTGAGTACATACCTGTGGAAGCATACATAGACTGCAAAGGCTGCAAACCTTTGCCTGGTCCATTGTACAACAATGCTTTGCCTAAGGTTCATGTCAAAATAAAAGGAAAATTGATAATATCTGATAATAATCTGAGTGTTTCATGAAATCAATATTAATTGTAAAGATAAAGTTCATTTAAATTATTTAAAAACTCATTTCCATATAATACTAACTTAATTTTATGTTCTAGTTAAAACTACTAATATGGTCAATAGCAATATTCCAGTGAAGCCCATCACACATATATAATTAATACAGCAAAAGGGAAAAGGATTGGGACTTATTCTTATTTATGTACTAATAAAATGTATATTCCAGACCAAAAGATTAATGAGGCTATAGAG